TGAAGGTGGAATTTTTGCTAAGCGAAATGGATGTGGCCTACAGGTCATATTCAGGATACATAAAGAAAAATAATCTGCCTGGGGAAATTGTCGTAAGATTCTCAAAGAGGCATGTAAGGGATGCAATCCTGAAAGCAGTATCTGGAGCACCCCTGAGAGCTGGGGAGAGTGTCATCAGAGTACTGAAGGATATTCCATTTGAAATAAGACAGCGGAGAAAGAAATATAAAGATCTTGTTCTTTTTCTTCAAACAAATTCAATTGGATATAGATGGCAAATTCCAGAAGGCATCACCTTTAAAATTAAGGATAAAAAAGAAAAGATTGACTCTGTTCCGAAAGCGAGAGAATTTTTAAGAGTCCAGCTGGGAGGGCCAGAGGAGGAAGAAAAAGAAGGGGACAGCAAATCCAGTGGCGAGCTGGACTCGGGTTCTTCCGGAGAGGACCCTCTGTCTGGGAAAGGGGCAGTAGTTCCTAAAAGACCTTATAAGTTGCGGAAGAGACTGGACAAGAAGAAGTGTAGGCTGAAGGACTCTGAATTGTGCCTTTGAAAAATTCTGAATTGAGATGCTTTGGGGTATTTCCTGATATCAGTTAAATTTAAGATGTGGGAAAAGTTAACAGACTATGTGACTCAGTTTGTAATGAGATTAATATGATTAAGACTAGATGTGTATTTAGGCTGATTAGAAGATCTCCTCTCTTGGGTTTTTAGTCAGTAGTGGGTATCTTTCCTTTATCCCCTTAAATGTAGTCCCCTTCCTTATTTCTGTTATAGTCTGTAGTTTTAATAAAAATGCAATTAAAAATTCCCCATTGGGGAGGGGGAAAAAACATCTGGAGAGGTGCTGTAGAAAATAGAATCTGGAACTAGATGGGTACCAAGGTCATAGTTTGCCAAGGGCACAAAAAAAAAATTAAAACCCTTGGGCCAGTCCTGGATGGTCACCATACCAAGTATATTTGGACATAAAGGTTACCATATCAAAATGGCTGGGAACCACTGACACAAAGGAGACACTCTTCTTCTTTTTCCCTGGAAAAACTGGTCAGACCCCACCCAGAACCGCCAACTGCTTGCTTTTTGTTCATAGGTAAAGGTTTCCCTTGCTCAAAAGCCAGTCGAATCCGACTCTAGGGATGCTGTGCTCATCCTGCAGATTACTAATCTCAGCCTAATTACAGGCTACTTCTAGAAGGGAAAAGTCTCCTAATTATTTGCTTCCAATAATGGTAAATGGTCTGCCAACAGATACCTATCTAGCATTTTAGACCATAATCCAGAAGCCACAGTGTTTGACTGGACTTCTAGGAAATTGTTCACAGAAAGTTGCAGCTTTTAAAACACCAAGCTTTTCATCCAGGGAAATAGAAAATACTGCTATTTTTTTCTGTGATTAAAGAGGACTCTGTTTAGGACTGCAGTGTGAATGACCCCCACATAAGGGCACGTGCATCTTGCCTCTGCATCTACTTGAGAATCCAGTGTGCAAACAGTCTCTTAAGAGGCAAATGTTTGAATGAGGACAAGGAAAGAGCAGCAACCTCCATGTACTGAAGCAGTACACCTTTTGATTACAGAAACTGAGTACGGGGAGGGGAGCCAGTTTCATGGCCAGCTTGGTAGAAGCATCTGAAGAGAGTCTGTTTTAAAGGGATGCTAAATTGATCGGCCACGGTAAGGCTCTCCTTCAGGAGAACAAAAATCAACGTGTCCCGTATGCTTTGTAAGACGTAGCTGCGCCTGCACGACAGGGCCAGTCGTGCTGGGGAAGGAGAAGGTGGTGGTGGGTCTGTGGGATGGGCGGAGGTCTGAAAACTTTGCTCCCTGTTGGCAGCGCGCTCACCGTGGTCAGGAAGTTCTGCGCCGGAGCACTTGGGAGGAGCAAAAAAACAAGCAACAAAAAACTCGCCCCAGTTGCCCACTCGGATCTTGGCTCTAACCACCCCCAGATTCGCAGATGCAAAACTGGCTAGTGTCTCTCTCCCCCCCCCTTTCCGCCCCACTTCCGCAGTCTCAGGGTTTCCGTTTCCCTCCTTTTGAAAAGCCGTCGGTCTTCTTGCAAGCTCAGCAGCGCGCTCCCGGATCCCGAGCGCCGCGCAAACGAAGGGAGGGGGCGGATCCTCGCTAGCCGCTCCGCTTCCAAGCCATGGACCGATCCGAAGCGGAAGATCCAGACCGGCCGGCGTCGCAGTCGGGAATCCGCCTGCTCCTGCCCTCCAGAGAGTTCCTGCTGTCCCGTAAAGGGCTACTCCTGCTGGCCGAGGCGGTAAGGGGGGGGAGGGGGGGCGTTGCTGTTGCGGGGCAGATGCTGGACGTGAGCTCATAGCCGCCACCGACCGGCTCGCTGTCCCTTCCCGCCACTGGCTGAAGCCTGCCGGCAAGGGGAGGGGGAGATCTTGTGGCCCTTCGGTGCAAACGTGACCCCCCTGGAGTTTACTGCGTCGGGTTGCCGGAGCAGCCGTGCCTTGCCTCTTGCTTAGCGTGTTTTGCGACCGCCCGCAAAGAATGAAGCAATTTTGGGAGGCGAAGCCAGAA